CATCGCGACCCATGTTTGGGTCGCGACCCACCGGTTGAAGACCACTGATCTAGATTAAAATTAGTTGTATCTTCAAAAACAGAAGTATTAGATTTAATTTTACAGCGCTTTATAGTACATTGATACCTTAAGCAAGATTGCTCTGAATCAACTATTTTTCGTTTGTAAACTTCTGGAACAGTTGAAGGGCTACGAGAATCATTGGACCGCTCAATACCAACAAACTGTGCGTTACAAATTGCAGTGTGCACTTTTGGAGACCACGAACTTCCATTTACCCTGAAAAATGAAATAAACTTGTTTTACGAACAAACATTTTTTTAATATAACCTTATATAGTTATGTACCCATTCTTCATACCTAGATTTAATAACATTAATTACGGACATGGAAATTGGGTACCTACGTAGTTTATGTGAATTAACATTATGTGACAATCAATAATATTGATTGAGTTTAACATAAAAACAAAATTTTTAATAGGATATTGTGTGTACATATTTGCCAAATAATATAGTACAAGAAAAATAATCTAGGTACTTATATTCTAGATTGTAGAACAATATATAGGTATACAAATAACTTAACATTCAAATATTTGTTCTAACTAACAATAGTAATTTAACAAACACCAAAGGTACTTACTCCATAAGGTCAACTGCTCGTATTCATTTTCTTTTCAAGCACTTTTCATAATTTCGACTAGGGAACGTATAAAACTTAATATTTTGTGCGTTTCTATACATATTGCTACGTTTGCAACATATTTTATTACTTTTACTCGTCTTTAAACTCATCAATATTAATTATTATGGACAGACTGATAAAGCTCAACACACGAGACACAACCATAGACTTATAAGTAGACTTTAGACTTACATTATAACTAAGGACACTAGTGACAAATAAGTAATTACAACTGACAAGTCGCGACTAATTATTTATGAACACATAAATTATCATTACAATGTGATATCATCCGAGTAAATAATATTATGGTGATAATTTGTATAACACAATATCTACGATTGGTACGTGATAATAACTATGATTATACGCTGTACAGAGAGTTTTAAAGTAACCAGTCTTATGTATTTTTATATGACGAATCTATTATGACTACATTGCTGTACAATTACAATTCAAAGATCAAAATAACTTGACGAGTTACGGTCATTATTTTGCATGGCCGCCATAATAATGGTATGTAACAGTATCCCTAACGTGACCATAATTTGTTTTCTTCAAAGCGGAACACCTGTACATTTTAATAAGTAAACCATACAGTTTTGCGTAAAATAACAATTTTTTTTATTAGAAAAAAAAAAAACATTAATTATTTATATAAAAAACGACAACAGAAAAACGCAGCTAATACATTAATCACGATAATAATAAATAATAATAATGTAATAATAGAGTACATTATTCGGATGTTTTCCTATGTTCGCCGGATCCACGACTCGGCTTTAAAATTGCCCGTTTGGTTTTTACGTATGAATGGAACTCTTGACAAGATTTGTTTGTGTTAGCCTTTGGTATACGAATGGCTTTTAATACAGAGACTCCCAACTGAGTTTTTTCACTGATCCACAGTTTATTCATAAGAGAGAACACTCTTTCAACTGAAACGTTACCGCCTGGCAGACACGAAATGTATTCTACAATTGTAGACAAACTGACGTGTGAGAGATCATTAGCGTTGAGGTGAGATCAAATGAGCACTTGTGTTTGGGCATTTTAAAAACAATTTAAAGTCGTTAGGAACGTCAACAAATTCGACGTACATCACCGCGTGACAAGGCGACGGGACGACTAGGACGATAATAACATGTGTAGGTAGTCCATTTATCGCCGATTCCCGCAGTCGAGGCGGTGGCGACGATAACCACAATTGGCCGCGATTAGGACAATTGGGTATTTATTTTCGTATTTTTTTTATCACTATGGACTATAGGTTTTAGTGTTTTACAGTATAGGTACATGTGTGTGGGTATACGTATACAGTATACTGCATAAATTTATGATTGTGATTTGTGATCAATAAGTACCTACCACAAGTCGACGTTTATTAGAGCGGGACATTTCTAGGTTCTTTGGTGACAGCGGGACACTTGACTCGAAAGCGGGACGTATGGTCACGTTAAGTATCACCCAAGTAACGCCGATATTTTCACCCCAGAGCGCTAGTAGTACACTCGCACCAAGGTTTATAGATAATACTATAATATTCGTAAACCTTGCACTCGCATGGCGTCTATAGGTAATTATCTACAGCCGTGCTTGAAATACTAAACGACTGATAAATGACAATAATAACAATTTAATTGATAACAATTTATATCCAAATTAATTTTAATGCCTGTGATGTCGACAGTTCAATGCAATTATCTAAAAAAATATGAACACTGATATTAATAGGCGAGAAATGGGAAGCATAAGTATTGGTTTAAATAAGTGATTACTATTTTATTTGATATTACCATTGTTACTTTTAGACTATGACGGGAATACACTGATTTCCATCGTCGAGTATCTATGGCTGGTGTAAAATAATCGGTATCAAGTGTCAGTAAACCGGTACAAAATGTTTCGGTGCACACTGCACCAGTTCTATCAACGAATTACAAGTATTGTAGAGCAGTGGCCAGTTTAACATTGTGACAAAATTGACAACTTATTTTACCGACTTTTAACAAAACGGTATAAAGGATTTCCAAATTTGATTTCGTTAGAAATTAAAATGGATGAGTAAGTAATAATAAAGTTAAGGAAATACAGTTTACCTAATCTAACCTACCATTGCTCATTTATCGAGTTTTTCTTTTTTAAATATCTGTTATAATGCACTGAATTCGAAAATGTTACGACAAATTGAAGCATTTTTTTATTTTGAATGTTATATTGATTATTCAATGTATATATTTTCGTTTAAAACAGTCCGAGCGAGTGACTCCGCCGAATCTCTATATGCACCCAAAATGCATTTATATTTCCCATGTTACCTACTCAATGTAGTTTTACAAAACAAGTCTAGGGTTTTTCGGTTAAAAACAGTTCGATTGAGTGAATAACCCTGTCGGATTTTATGTGTACTGAAAATGCATTTAATTTCAAATCGCTGGAACTAATAAAAATAATTTTTGAAAAATTCTAATTGCACCATTACCTTCAATTTTTGATAGAGCTTTTACAATAAAAAGACCGACAATTTGTCCAATCATTTTCGCGTTATTATTTGCGTTAAAGCACATTTTGAAAAAAAAAAAAAATTGAAAAACCAGCAATTATACTAAACTCGACTAAATTGAATTTGTTCCACGTTTTACTATTTTCTGTAATAATTATTATTTTGTTTACCTTATTATTAAGAATCATCAAATAAGTTTCTAATTTACTAGGTACATTTTTAGATTATTTTTTTTAGTAGTTTATGTAGGTACCTTTTTGGAGTAGTTGGTAAGACCTACCACAAATGTAGAATCTTCAGTGTAGTTATATCGCTATCAAACTTTACATTTTTAACTAATAACTGACTAATAACTGAATACCTGCCTACTCATAATAACTATTAGCTTCCTACTAATTGACCAATCTAATTTTCTGCAAAGATATTTTAATACTATTTCATTACCTACCCAGAAGTCATGTCATTAAAAAGGATTAAAAAATTGAAAAATTTAATTATTGTTTGGGCGTTATATAAGGTCATTATACTAATACTAAACCAATATACAATTTTCTGATAATGTTAAGATTAGTTATGACCCTGCGAGTCAGACAATGTCTGTGACTAATACAATTATTTATCTAAGGCCGTGAATGCCCGTCTCTACACGGTTATAGCTCTGTGGGAAAAAGAAAAATTGAAAATTCAATTGTGGAACATTAGTCTGACAGGACTCATGGAAAACATATATATTTAGTGTTTTTGATATATTTTTTTTTTCCTTAGAGCCCAGACTTTAACAACAACAATTATTATTATTTTTTTGTGATTATTAAGATTTTATCGCATTAATTTTAAATTTATTTTTAAAAAATCGTAAAAAAGCAACTTCGCACAGAATTCGTTTTTCATCAGCAATGAGTAATCTATTAATCCTTGCGTACTGATATTGATTAAATCTCCTAGTATTTCTTCTAATTCTACCTTCTCAACTCCTACCTACAACAGTGGCCCGTCCCCAGTATCAACTCTCTTTTCTTTTTCTTTTTTTATTACTTTTCTACTAGAAATATTACTCCAATCAAAAACTTTCTTGTAGCATGTTTGATCTAGTTGATATATTAGGGAGATCATATTATGATTTCCTTGAACTTTTTTTTAATAAATGAGAACAACTGGCAATTTTTTGTCTAATTTTCGTTGATTCTTGGCATCAAAGCAAAAGATCCAACTAATAATGCTATGCTTAGAATTTAAGCATTAGCATTAGATTTAACGTTTTTCATTAGCAATGGTATATTGTTGAATTGCGATATAATTTAAATTATGTAACACTTAAATATATTTATTTTTTTCAGGGGCTCTATTAATGAAGTACATGTGATTGATACATTAAACATATTAACTGAGGTGAGTCGTGTTAACAATCAGTTTTAACAATCTAGACATTGGTAATTAAGTATGTCCAATTACTATAAATAGGTCAATATTTATAATTTAGGACTACCATTTGTTCCAATTTAGGCATAACACTAATGATTTCAATTTTATTTGTTAATAGAGTATTTTCGTTTTTAATAGCCTACTTATGAATTGAAAGTATGTATAATAATAGTAATAGGGTGGCCAGATCAAAAATACAGAAATATGGGACAAAAAAAAAACATCAGTAAGGATGCTAAATAACAATAAATTACATATCTATAAATATTTTTACTTTAATCAAAAATAATTGATCTATCTAGTAGTACATTTCCGAATTTGTAACCATTAGTTGCTACTTTCTGGTTTTATATGTTGATCAATATATGATTTCCCATTGTGATCTACACTAAAAATTTCATCACACACAGTGTATTCCACTTAATGTGTTCTTGGAAGTTTTTGAAATTTTTATTGGGTAATGTATTTTTAATGTCAATGCTTGATATAACATTTTTTTAACCCAGACAAAATATGAAATTGACACCCATCAGACACAATACACAATTCACTATATTTTAATATTTAATTTTTATATAATATTATTGACTACTTTACTGTCTTATAATATAATATGTTATAATTATACTGTATTTTAAAATAACAAAAAATTATTAAACACATTTCAGCAAGGAAACTGATTACTATAACTATTAATTATTCAATAAAAAAAAAAAAGTCCATATATTAGTACTTATGCCTAATAAAATAACTTATCATTAAATTACTATGAGCTTTCTTAAAAACTACTTAATTATGCCATAAATCTATAAAACATAAAGATACTGTGGTATCAGAATAGTAGATTAATAGTAGGAAAAATCACCAAGAAAGGTAATTATAATTCTTAATTTGGAAGTATATTTTTATCGGTTTTTGAGAAGTAGTTAATAGTTAAAAAAAAAAAAAAAATGTAAATGTGTTGATTTTTCTTTACTATTAATTGTAATTTTAGTACTTTGTTTACTAATGTATTTATTCATTTTTATTGCAGGATGGTTTTAGGAATCTATGCAACTTTTATGGTAAAATTAAAAATATTATTGTCTTCAAAAAAGTAAACTCCAACTGTGCATTTATTGAGTTTGAAAATGAACAGTAAGTTTTTATTTATTCTAAATAAATAATTTATCTAAATGGTTGTTTGAATCAAAAAATGAATATATAAATATTTAAAATAATTGAATATAAATACAATGTTTTTTATTTTAAAGTTTAAATAATTATAAATAATGACCTCTATTATAATCCATTATAATCTTATATTAATATAAGGAAGTGTATGTCTTTGC